TTCCATTTATGTAAAATATTCAAAATAGGGCAGCCTGGGTGGCTCAGTGGTTTAGCGCTTGCCTTTGGCCCAGGTTGTGATCCTGGAGTCCCAGGATCGAGTCCCACATCAGGCTCCCTGCATGGAGCCTGCTTCTCCCTCTGCCTGTGTCTCTGCCTCTCTTTCTTTCTCTCTCTTTCTCTCTCTCTCTGTCTCTCATGAATAAATAAATAAAATATTTTTTAAAAAATTCAAAATAGATAAATCCACAGAGACCGAAAGCAGATTGGGGATGGCCAGGGACTGGGGAGCAGGGCAACAGGGAGTGACTGCTTCATGGAATGAAAATGCTCCAAAACTAAAGGGTAGCAATGGACTGCACAACATTGCAAATGCACTAATGCTTCTGAACTCTTCACTTTAAAATGGCTAGTTTTATATTCTCTAACTAAGAGGAGGGCTCTGAAGAACCCGGGAGGGAGCCAGGAAGGAAGCTTATAGAATCCATTGAGGATAGACTCCTGCAAACTGGGCATATCTTTGGACTTCATCCTGGGAGAAGTGGGATAGTCAGTGAGGAATTTTAAGCAGGTGGATGACCTTTTAAACTGGACATTTGGGGGATGCCGGGTGGCTCAGTCGGGTGAGCATCCGACTCCTGGTTTCCACTCAGGTCATGATCTTGCGGTCATGAGAATGAGCCCCGGGTAGGGCTCCTCACTCTGCATGGAGTCTGCCTGAGATTATCTCTCTCTCCCTTAGCCTCTCCCCCCACTCCCGTGCTTGCTCTCTCTCTCTCTCTCCAAAATAAATAAATAAAATCTTTAAAAACAAACAACCTAAACATTTTGAGTGGATGGCTGATAACAGTAGGGAGGGGCTGAACCCATGGAAACAGAATGTGGAGTCCGCTGGCCCAGGGAGAGAGCATAGCAGATATACCAGGATGCACACTACCTCCTTGATCATGTTTCAGTCAAGTGATTAAAACCATCTTCCACTAAATGTGAACTCAGAAACAGTAACTGGGAAGAAAAGTTGTGGGTGTTTTTTAAACAGCTAAAGCCCCTATTTTTGCACATCCTACCACCTTTGGCATCCAACAGATTTTAACGTAAAATTAACCTGCTTCCTCTTTCTCTAAAGATTACTCATTAAAGACTTGTCTTTGAGCAAATACTTCACCGCAGAAGAAAGGCTGGTTTTGATGAAAGCAAATTGCAGTCTGAAAATAGGTTTAGAAAAGGAAGTATGATCCAAAATTAATACACTTATTTTCTCAGTCTCAATTTCAGCCATGGTACCAGGTCAAGAAATACGGCATGCTGTAATTTTTTAAATTTAAATTCAATTTGCCAACGTATAACACCCAGCACATATCCCATCAAGTGCCCCCCTTAATGCCCATCACCCAGTTACCCCATCCCCCCACCCACCTCCCCTTCTGCAATCCTTTGTTTGTTTCCCAGAGTTAGGAGTCTCTCATGGTTTGTCTTCCTCTTTAATTTTTCCCTCCTTTCCTTCATGGTTCCTTTCATTATTTCTTATACTCCACATACGAATGAAACCATGTGATAATTGTCTTTCTCCGATTGACAGATTTCACTCAGCATTATACCCTCTAGTTCCATCCACGTAGAAGTAAATGATAGGTATTCATCCTTTCTGGTGGCTGAGTAATATTCTATTGTATATATACCACATCTTTATCCATTCATCCATCGAGGGACAGTGTGGCTCCTTCCACAGTTCGGCTACTGTGGACTTTGCTGCTATGAACATTGGGGTGCAGGTGTCCCATCATTTCACTACATCTGTACCTTTGGGGCAAATACCCAGTAGTACAATTGCTGGGTCATAGGGTAGCTCCATTTTGAACTTCTTAAGGAACCTCTACACTGTTTTCCAGAGTGGCTGCACCACTTTGCATTCCCATCAACAGTGCAAGAGGGTTCCCCTTCCCCCACATTCTCACCAACATTTGTTGTTTCCTGTCTTGTTAATTTTAGCCATTCTCACTGGTGTGAGGTGGCATCTCATTGTGGTTTTGATTTGTATTTCCCTGATAGCAAGTGATGCGGAGCATTTTTTCATGTGTCTGATGGCCATGTGTATGGCGTCTTTGGAGAAATGTCTGTTCACATCTTCTGCCCATTTTATGACTGGATTGTTAGTTTCTTGGGTGTTAAGTTTGATGAGTTCTTTATAGATCTTGGATACCAGCCCTTTATCTGCTATGTCATTTGCAAATATCTTCTCCCATTCTGTAGGTTGTCTTTTATCTTGCTGACTGTTTCTTTTGCTGTGCAGAAGCTTTTTATCTTGATGAAGTCCCAATAGTTCATTTTTGTTTCTCTTGGCTTCGTAGATGTGTCTTGCAAGAAGTTACTATGGTCAAGTTCAAAAAGGTTGTTGCCTGTGTTCTCCTCTAGGATTTTGATGAACTCTTGTCTCACATTAGGTCTTTCATCCATTCTGAGTCTATGTTTGTGTCTGGTGTAAGAGAATGATCTAGTTTCATTCTTCTGCATGTAGCTATCCAATTTTCCCAACACCATTTATTGAGGAGATTGCCTTTTTTTCATTGGAAATTTTTTCCTGTTTCGTTGAAGATGAGTTAACCATAGAGTTGAGGGTTCATTTCTAAGTTCTCTATTCTGTTCCATTGATCTATGTGTCTGTTTTTGTGCCAGTACCATACTGTCTTGATGATTATAGCTTTGTAATACAGCTTGATGTCAGGCATTGTGATGCCCCCAGCTTTGGTTTTTTTTTTTCAACACTCCTCTATTTGGGGTCTTTTCTGGTTCCATACAAATCTTAGGATTATTTGTTCCAACTCTGTGAAGAAAGTCCACAGTATTTTGATAGGAGTTTCATTGAATGTGTAAATTGCCCTGGGTAGCATAGACATTTCCACAATATTTATTCTTCTAATCCATGAGCATGGAATGTTTTTCCATATCTTTGTGTCTCATGCTGTAGCTTTTTAAAGGTACTCAATTGGGATTTCTGTGCACAGAGAATAAAAATTTGAATGAAGCCACAAGGAAAATCTGACCTACTCCATGCTCACCAAATACTAAATTGAATGTGACCTATGGGGACCATACAGAATCCATCTAACTGAACTTTAGAGGAAATTCAAAAGGTCTTGATCTTGCAGTTAGTGTATCTGCCAGTCAGCTTCCCCTTGTCTTTTTAGAGTGACCAATGGTTCCGAAGAAAGCCCAGGAGAAAGGGGTTTCCCAGGCCCCAGACTTCCAGTACTGAAGCCAGAACATTTGGGTACCTGGTTTCACTGCACCCACAACCCCTTCCAAAATTCTTTTTTTTTTTTTTTAAGATTTTATTTATTTATTTTGGAGAGAGAGAGAGGCAGAGACACAGGCAGAGGGAGAAGCAGGCCCCGTGCAGGGAGCCTCATCTGGGACTCGATCCCGGGACTCCAGGATCACGCTCTGGGCCTAAGGCAGGTGCTAAACCACTGAGCCACCCAGGGATCACCCCCCTTCCAAAATTCTATCTTCTGGGCAGGATTGTTTTCAATTGGAAAGTAAAAAATAAATTAATTAATAATAAATAATAATAATAACAACAGCAGTGAAGAAGAGAGAGGGAAAGATGGGCATCATTTGGCATCCATCATGTAGAAAGAGCAAGAATGCAGGAAGTCAGTAGGGTGTAGCAGTCAAGGCTGCAGTGCATTCCACAGGAGGTCTGAGACTCAAGCTTCACACATGTGTGCCATGATAACCACGTGACTTTCACGCAGGCTGCAAGGGAATGTCTTCTCACCGTACAACTCACTCACTGAGCAAACGTCTACTGAGGTCCTTACCATGCATATGCCAGGCTTGGGATCAGGCGTTGGGATCCGGAGATGAAGATGTGTTAGGCTGGCCTCAGGAGTTGCTCACAGGCCAGAGGCCAAGTAGAGGAGATGCACTAAGTAACCATCAGGTCTAACACCATGTAATTAATAATTAGAGCTCCCAGCTTCCAAGAACCAGACATTTATATAGTCTGTCATTCTCAAGGTAGGTAAGATTATCCCCATTTTATTTTTTTTGTTTTATTTTTTTAATTTTTTATTTATTTATGATAGTCACACAGAGAAAGAGAGAGAGGTAGAGACATAGGCAGAGGGAGAAGCAGGCTCCATGCACTGGGAGCCTGACGTGGGATTCAATCCCCGGTCTCCAGGATCGCGCCCTGGGCCAAAGGCAGGCGCTAAACCGCTGTGCGACCCAGGGATCCTGATTATCCCCATTTTAAAGAAAAATAAAATAAAATAAAAACTGAAACTCAGATTTGCAGAACTTGCTCAGGGCCACCCAGCTGGCAGCGGCAGAGGCAGGCTGTAATCCAACATTTTGAGCAAGTTTCCCTTGATCTCCAAAGCTCTGTCCATTCTACTATTCTCAGGTCCCTTTTTAGTGTGACCAAGGTTAAGATCAAGATCGTTCTGATTCCTGACCTACTTACTCCAGCCTATCTTCATCTTCCATCAGAGAGCAGCTATGTCTGCCCTTTGAATTGATAGCAAAAGTGCTGAGTTTTAACTATTCATGCTAATGACAGAGGCAGGGTGGAGGTGGAAAAAGCTAGATATTTATGCATAATTAGCAGACAACTGGAAACTGTTATGACAGGTTGGATCAAGACAGCATGCAGAGAAGAACGATGAGGCTTCAACGCTATTGGAATTGGCCCTGATTTTCTTGGGGAAGACATTCAAGTCACAAGCAACAAGAGAATCAACAAATCGAATAAAAAACTTTTTTCCATCAAAGGACACGATCAACAGAGTGATAAGGTAGCTGATAGAATAAGAAAAGATATTTGAGAGATCCCTGGGTGGCGCAGCGGTTTGGCGCCTGCCTTTGGCCCAGGGCGCGATCCTGGAGACCCGGGATTGAATCCCACGTCGGGCTCCCGGTGCATGGAGCCTGCTTCTCCCTCTGCCTGTGTCTCTGCCTCTCTCTCTCTCTGTGACTATCATAAATAAATAAAAAAAATTAAAAAAAAAGAAAAGATATTTGAAAATTACATCTGACAAAACATTGATATCCAGAATATATAAAGAATGACAAAAACACAAACAACCAGATTCAGGTAAAGTACTAAAACAGACATTTCTCCAAGGAAGATATACAAATGATTAATAAGCACATGAACAGATGCTCAACTTCGCTAATCATTAGGGAAATGAAAATCAAGAACTCTAATGGGATACCACTCCATATTTGTTAGGATGACTATATTATCAAAAACAAAACAAAACTAAGAGAACAACAAGTGTGGGTAAGGATGTGGAGAAATTTGAATCCTTGTGCACCACTGTGATGTAAACTGGTGCAGCTGCTATGGGAAACAGTATGGCAGTCCCTCAGAAAATTAAAAATAGAATTACTACATGATCCAGCTATTCCACTTCTGGCTATATACCCAAAAGTATTAAAAGAATTGGAAGCAGGGACATGAAGAAATATTTGTACACCCACGTTCACAGCAGGAGTATTTACAATAGTCAAAAAGTGGAAAGAAACCCAGGCATCCTTGATAAACAAAATGCAGTATATACATACAATAGATACTATTCAGTCTTTAAAAAAAAAAAGAGAGAGAGAGAGAGAGAAAGAAAGAAATTCCAACACAGGGCATGACTTGCATAAAACTTGAAGACAATATGCTAAGTGAAATAAGCCAGTCACAAAAGGGGCAAATACTGTATAATTCCAAGTAGGGTAGTGAAATCCATAGAGACAGAAAGTAGAAGGGTAGTTGCCAGGCACTGTTGGAGAGGAAGGAATGGAAGTTGGTGTTTCATGGGTACAAACATTCAGTTTGGGAAGAAGTAAAAGTTCTAGAGTGGGAAGGTGGTGCTGGTTGCACAAAAATGCAATACACTTCATGCCATTGAACTATATAATACCTAAAAACGGTTAAAATGGTAACTTTCATATAATATATATTTAACCACAATTTTTAAAAGATGGCATTCAAAGGACGTGCATCTACAGACTCAAATTCCACTTCAAGTTCTATTTAGTGATGGAAAAAATATAATGTATAGAAAGTGTACCAATATTAATAGAATAGTTCAGTCAATTTTTATACTTACATAGACTGTTGAAATCACCACTCAGATCAAAATAAACATCCAGCCCTCCAGAAGGCTCCCCACCCTAAAGATAGTCACCATTCTGCCCTTCAACATCATAGATTTGTTTCGACTGTTTTTGAACCTCATACAAATGGAACCAGAGATTACAATGCTTCCTTGCATCTGGCTTCTTTTTGATCAATTTATCTCTTTGAGATTCATCCTCTTTATTGTGTGTAGCAGTTTGTCCTTTTTCGTTGATACATAGTTTTCCATTGTAGAAATATATCACAATTTGTTTTTTATGCTACGATTAATGAATATTTGAGTTTTTTTAGTTTGCTAAGAATATTCATATATGTGTCCTTTGATGAACATAGGAATGTGCTTGTCTTTGGTATACACAGTGGCATGTTTGGACATAGATTTACTTATGTTTAACTTTAATAAATACTGCCAGTTTTCCAAAGTGGTTGTAGCCACAAGAATTCCCATTGCTCTATATCCTCATTAACATTACCTTTATTAATACTTTTAATCATATCAAGATATGGGGTGGGGAAGGATGGAGGATCACGTGGGGGTCTTATCCCTAGTTTTACTGAGAAATAATTGACATACATCACTGTATAAGTTTTTGGTGTTTTTTTTTTTTTTTTGGTTGGTTGGTTGGTTGTTTTTTTGTTTGTTTTTATAGAGAGAGAGAGAGAGGGCAGTGGGAGGGGGAGAAGGAGAGAGTGAATCTTAAGCAGATTTCAGGCCCAGTGCAGAACTGGGGCTCGATCTCACAACCCTGAGATCATGACCTGAGCCAAAATCAAGAGTCGGACACTTAACTGACTGAGCCACCCAAATAATCCATCACTGGATAGGTTTAAGGCATATAGTATGATGGTTTGATGTACCTACGGTGTGAAATGATTACTACAATACATTCAACTAACACACATCTTCTCTTAAATTCAATTTTAAAAAAGAAAAAAGGAAGAAAAAAAAGAAAAAAAATTTTTCTCCTTGGGATGAGAATGCTTAGGATCTATTCTCTTAATGTCTTTCCTATATATCCTACAGCACTGTTGGCTACAGTGATCATGTTGTATACTACATCCCTAATATTAATTTATTACCAGAAGTTTGTACCTTTTGACTCCTTCCAACTACTGCTCCCTGCATTGTCCACCTCTGATAACAGCTCTGATCTTTTTTCTATGAGTTTGTTGTTGTTGTCCCTTATCAATAACTTTTTTAACTAACAGACTTTCTCTTGAGCAGTTATAGTTACAGAGTTCCCATACATCCCCTCAGAGGATCATGAGGTTTTAACTTGAATTAGCCAAATAAATAATGATACTGAGCACCTATTCATAAGCAACTGACATTTGGATATCCTCTTTTCTGAAACAATCATTGCTGTCTATTTTTAAAATTAGATTGTATGTCCTTTGTTTATTGATTTGTGAGAGCTCTTTATATATGCTGAGTATGAGTCGTTCGTCAGATATATGTGTATTGCTAATATTTTCGACTAGTCTGTGGTTTGCCTTCTCTGTTAATAGTACTTACGATGCATAGAAGTCATTCATGTTAATGAAATCCAATGTATCAAGCTTTTCTCTTATGGTTTATATTCTTTGTATCCTATTTTTAAAAATCTTTGCATACCCCCAAGATCACGAAGATATTCTGCAATGCTTCCTTTTAGAATCTTTATTATTTCATCTTTCACATTTATATTTATGGTCCATCATGAATGTTTGTACGTTATGTGAAAGGTGCAGTTTCTTCATTTTCTTTTCCTTTTTTTGAAAGTTGATGCTTTCTTCATTGATTTCCTGTCAAACATTCGGCATAAATCAAATGACCATATATGGATGAGAATGTTACTGGCTCTATTTTATTCCATTGGCCTATTTGTTTATCCAGGTATCACACTCTCTTAATTTCTGTAGCTTTATAATAAGTTTATACCTGGTAGTGGAAGTCCTCAGCTTTGTTAATCTTCTTCGATAATGCCTTGGCTATTCTATGTCCTTTGCTTCCATATAAATTTTAAAACTTGCCAATATCCACTTTAAAAAAAAAAAAAAAGAAAGCTTCCTGGAAGTTTTATTGAGTTTGCATTAAGTCTGTAGATTCATTTAAGGGAAATTCATATCCTATCCATCCTATGTCTTCCAACTCATGAACATGGTTTATCCCTCAATTTATTTCATTTTTCTTTAATTTCTCTCAGGAATGTTTTATGGTTGGCTGTATACTGGTCTTCAAAATCTTTCATTGGAGTCGTTCCTAGTTATTTTGTGTTTCCTGTATTATAAATTGTATCCTAAAAATTTTTTCTAGTTGTTTGCTGCTAGTATGTAGAGGTATAAATGTGTTTTGTACATCGACCTTGTATTCAGCTCCCTTGACAATTTACTTATTTAATACTTTATATTAGATTTCCTTACATTCAAAACATACAATCTGTGAATAAATAAATTTTATTTCTTCCTTCCCAAGATTCATATCTTTTTAAAAAATGTCTTAATAAAGTATAGGCTTCCATGAAATAAAACTGGCCAATTTTCATTATACAATTTCATGAGTTTTGACAAATGTATACAGTCATGTAGCCATTGAGATGTAGTATTTGGCTGATATTTCCATCAGCCAAAAAGTCCTCTCAAGGGCCTCCTTGCAAAAAAGATTGGAAAAAAAAAAAAAAACAGTCATATTGTTTGCCCCTTCCTGGGCACAGAGCAAAAAGCTTGAGTTAAGTAGCATAGGGTTGCAGAACACAAGGCAGCTAGATTCTCCGGAAGAAGAGTGGGAGGTGAAGCTTCTCCACGAAGTTAGTCTTCAATCCTACTTGCACGCTAAAATCGGCTCTTAAAATACTGCTGCCTGGACCCAACCCCCAGAGAGCTTGATTTACTTCATCTGTGTTGGAGCCCAGGCACTGGGTATCTTTTCAAATAGACAAGGTGATTCTCATGTGCAACCAATGCTAAGAACTTAGTAGGCTAAAGGCAGGAATTTTTGCAGATGGAAGACAACTTTTTTAAAATTGTAAAAACCATATGGCAGCTGTCACTGAGGGAAATTACTTAAGAGGAGAAGAAGCATACGTAATCCTGTCTTTGTTGCACAGCAAATATTCTCAACATGCAGACATATTTTTGCACAACTGTGCTCACTGTGGTGATGCAATTTTACTTCGTTATTTACCATTTATAATGAATTTCTTGCTTATATCCCTTCATAAGGGTAGTGGTTCTGAGTGTGGGCTTTGGAGTTAGACACACCTGGATTAAAATCTAAGATTTTTGACTTGCCAGCTGTGGGTCTCCAGCAAACCGTTCAATATACTTGAACTTCATAGACTACTTGAGAGGTAGGAAGAATGGTACCTACCTCATAGGTTCATTATGAGGATGGATGTTTGTAAAGAAACAACAGGAGAACGACTTGCCCACTTTGGGCTCTCTATGAATGGTTGCTGTTACCACCATTGGAACAAGTGAGGTTATCGACTGAATGGAAGCTATTCTAGGGCAGTAAATGTAAATAGACCAAGGGCTTGGGAGGTAAAGGAAAGGATCTCATTTCCCCTCAGCAATAAAGACTCAGGCATCGTGAGGAGTTACCTGTGTGTGTGTGTGTGTGTGTGTGTGTGTGTGTACACGAAAGAGCTGGGAGTCCAGGGCTCTGTGGGGTTCAGTTCCCATGGTTGAGCATGATTCTAGGGGAGGGAAAATTGAAGAGGGCCCCTGGACCACTTGTTTCAATGGCAACACCAAACACCCACAAGAGCCATTTAGAATGGAATGCAGAGGCCCTTTAGGCAAATTCTCTTGTTTTCTCTCCTTGAGGCTAGAGAACCATACTGACTCCAAGGAGCACAGAGGAAACATCCCTGGGGTCTTGGACTTATCGCAGAAGGTCAGGCCCTGAGGGTGAAAGAAAAGCATTCTTAGGCAAATGGGGTGGGAGTATCAGGTCATTCAATCAGACAGTTAAAAATAATAGGGGCACCTGGGTGGTTCAATGGTTGAGCATCTGCCTTCCGCTCAGGGTGTGATCCTGGGGTCCTGGGATTGAGTTCCACGTTGGGCTCCCTGAAGGGATCCTACATCTCCTTCTGCCTCTTTCTCTGCCTGTGTCTCTGCATCTCTCTCTGTGTCTCTCATGAATAAATGAAATATTTTTTAAAAAATAAAATTAATAATAATAATAATATAGCAGTACATAGGTGGCTCAGTCAATTGAGCATCCCACTCTTAATTTCAGCTCAGGGTCTTGAGATGGTCCCCATCCCCCGCGCCCCCCCCCCCACCTCCCTGCTCCATCAGGCTCTGTGCTCAGCAGGGAGTCGGCTTGGGGATTCTCTCTCCCTCTCCATATGCCCCTTCCCTGACTCATGCACTCATGCTCTCTCTCTCAAATAAATAAATCTTAAAAATATAATAATATACATTCACGGAGAGGACCATTCCAGGCACTCCAATCAATTCAATTAAATTAAGCACTTAAAAAATTTAAAAAAATAAATTAAGCACTTACTCCTCACAACAGTCTTATGAAGTAGGTATTGTTAGTAACCTCGTTTTACAGATGAGGAAACTGAGGCATAGAGCAGTTAAGTAAACTTGCCCAAGGTTACACAGAAAGTAGTAGAGTCAGGATCAAAAACCTAGAGATGATGCTCTTAACTACTCGCATACCCCAAGCCGATGAAGTGAGACATATTAGTTACACTATAATTGTAAACGGTCTTTGGAAAGATCCCATATCCTGATTTGCTCAGAATGTTCTCTTTTCATTTCTTATTTTCCGCTTTCAGCTGAAATAAGCATCTTCATGCATCTAGCTTCTCTTGTCTGTCGAAGTCTCCTAGGATCACTTTCTGTAAATGGCATTACTTGCTCCAGCAGGATAAAGTATGCTATGGTTGTTCCTACATATTGTTGTAGCGTTTACCAAACAGGCTGCACCAGTTGACAATGTCACCACCACCTCAAGCAGCACGGTTGGAATTATTTGTATAAATGAATATACATTTGAAAAAATATATATATACATAAAATTTTTTTTTTAATTGGAGAACTTAAAAAAGCTGGAAATTTGCAGCAGAGGCTTGCTGATCAGCTGTGCTTCTGGGAGTTTCCCTTTATTCAAGGCGCCTTTATTCACCTCACCTGAATTTGAACCATCGTCCCCTATCAGGCCAGGCCCTGGACTTCCAAACCACCTGGAACTTTGGAAGGGGAGGGGGCACATGCTTCTGATCTTTCGCCTACAGCATGAACCAAATGCCACAATATTTTTTGGCCAGGTTCTCATTCCCACTTTTCAAGCTGGCTTTCCTGTACAAACTGGGATGACTTTTAAGCCAGGCTCGCTGTCCCCTTGGTCACTGAAACCAGCACCTCCTAGATTATATGTGTCTACAAAACACCTGAGATCTCGTCAAAACTAAGATTGTGGTTCAGTGCATCTGGGCAGCCCAACAAGTCCCAGGTGGTGCTAATGCTGCTAGTCCAAAGAGCTTAACTCCTTTATCTCTTAGATAAACCAGACAGCAAAGACAACCCAGACAATCCCACCAGAGCCGTCTAACTCCAGCTCTGCCTCTGACAACCTGCAGGGCCTCTCTGAGCCTCAATTTTCCCATCTGTACAATGAGAGGATGACAGTAGACACTCTCTGAGTCCCTTCTATGATTTTCATCTCGATCTTGGATTTCTTGAGCCCGTTCATGTTATTTTTCACATACTATTTACTCAACAAACAATATTTAAGCTGCAGGGGGGAAGCGCAGGCACCTTTTTAAACACCAGCAACGGAAGAGCGAACAAGAGAGGCACAGTCCCTGCTCTCATGGGAGCGCAAGTGTACTGAGGAAGACGAGCAAATGGGAGTCGGAAATGGTTTGCTAAGTGCTTTGGGAGGAAGAGCTCAGGGCACCGTGGTACCAAATAGAAAACAGATGTCACTGCGACCAGTGGGAGTCAGAGGAGAGCTCCCAAAGGAAATCATTACTGAGCTGACCCCAGAAGGAACAAGGTGGAATCAAGTGGGATCCAGGTGAAGCCAGGCATGGGAAGTGGGAAGAGTTCCCACCGTGTTCCAGGCAGATGGGAAGGCATGGCCAGTGCAGCGTTCACTGGTTCCAAGCTCAGAGCTGCCCCTATACTCCTGCTCCTCCCCAGCCTAGACTTTTCTGCAGGGGGCCCTCACTCTTGTTGGTTCATTCATTCTTCTCACCATTCGTCAGCCATTCAGTAAGCCTGAACTGAGGGCCTTTGTGTCACACACTCTTCTGGGGGGGCAGGAAGGGAATATAGAATGAGCAACCCCAGGTACCGTGCTTATTAGGATGAACGACACGTCCACAAGTAGCTGCCACACAACCCGAGGACCATCAGAGTGCAGGTGGCACCGCGACGGGGGCGTAGAGGCTTCGGGCAACAACTGAAATTGTATGTGCAGGACTTCTGAGTCTTGGAAAGCATGCAACAGGCCTGGCCTTTGCTTCGCGTCCTGGGGGCTTCTCCCTTGCTTGCTCACCCCTGGGTGCAGACCTAGGCGGCCTCTCCTTTCAAACCGCTGGCAGGGCTGCAATTGGACAGCAGAGGGCAGTGAAAGACCGCGCTTGAGCCAAGCTGCCCGGGGCTTGGCAATCCAGGGAAACGCTTTTGCAAAGGCTTAGGCCGAGGGGGAAGTAGACAAAATCCAGAGAGGGGAAGACCTGTGCCCAGGATAACACAACTGCTTAGTAGCAGAACGAGCACACTGCGCCAGGCCCATGCAATTTGCTCTGCGAGGTCCTAAATTTTCTAAGACTCTCAGTTTGTATAATTCAGGATGTTTCTAGAAATATTCTTCTTTTCCTTGTCCCTCCCCAGCCCCCCCCCCCCCCGACCCAGCATAATGTAGAGGCATAGTTTTGGTTTATAAACCTCTTGCAGATAAATACAAGATATAGAGGGGCGCCTCAGTGGCTCAGTAGGTTAAGCATCCGACTCGATTTCGGCTCAGGTCATGATCTCAGGGTGGTGAGACGGAGCCCTAGGTCAGGCTCTGCACTGGGCACGGAGTCTGCTTAAGATTATCTCTCTCCCTCTGCCTCTGTCCCTCTCCCACTAAAAAAAAAACAGCAACAACAACGACAAATACAATATATGTAAGTGCTTCCTCTTTCTTCCTGAATCTAAAGCTGGTGACACGCTCCCTGGGGAAAATGCAGTGGTTTGGGGCATTGGCTCCAGAACAAGGCTGAGTTTGAAGGCAAGCTCTGCCTCTCCATGGTGCATTTCTTAACCACTTCTCTGGATCCTAATGTTTAGAATCAGGCAATGATCGCACACATACCTCCCGAAGCTGAGGTCAGGGTTAAGTGAGCTGCTGGAAATGGAGTGCTCCGACAATTCCTGGTCAGGAGCAATCATTCTGTCAACGGGTGCTCTTGTTTTCAGTCTCCTGGCCGAGGAGCACTGGTCAGTCACTGCACGCCACGCCCGTGTGGGTGAAGAGCCCAGCCATGTGTACTCGAGCCCTTGGAATCAACAGGCTTGCTCGGGTTCAAGTACCAGTTGTGTCCTGTCATTTATGGGCTGTGCCACCAGGATGAGCAAGCCCCTTCACTGCCCCTGGGCCGCAGTCCCTCATTCCTCTAATAGGGCTGATAATATCGCCATTATTATTATTACTACTTCTGCTAATGCAGCAAGAATTCCTTTTAGTTCTGTTCAGCAGATATTTTTTCATGCCCTGTTATGCCCTGGGCCCAGTGCGGGGTCCCAGAGAGAAAGAGACGAGTAGGTCACAGCTATCTGTGCGAGGATCTAGTCGTTGAACAGGCTAGAAAGGCCAGTGATCGTACACATTACCAAAGACTATGATGAGTATAAAGAAGGAGCACTAATGAGGGAGTTCCAGGAAGTCTTCCCAGAGAAGGTGGACTCTCAGTTGGCTTTTGAAGGATGAATAAGAGTTTGCCAGACTCGTCTTCCTTTTTTTTTTTTATTTTTATTTATTTATTTATGATAGTCACAGAACGAGAGAGAGAGAGAGAGAGAGAGAGAGAGAGAGAGGCAGAGACACAGGCAGAGGGAGAAGCAGGCTCCATGCACCGGGAGCCCGACGTGGGATTTGATCCTGGGTCTCCAGGATCGCGCCCTGGGCCAAAGGCAGGCGCCAAACCGCTGCGCCACCCAGGGATCCCCCAGACTCATCTTCCTTTAAAGACAATGGAGATAGTTTGTGGAGTCAGGAGTCCCAAATGGGAAGTGTGTTGTATATACCCGCCAGAGCTGCTCTTTTGTCTTAACCTCATGGACCAGCCCCCCCTCCCCACACACACATTACTGCATGCAATCTCCCCTCTTTTCTCCCAGACAACCCTTGGAGCATAGACCTGCTTTAGAAGGAGAGGAGTCCAGATCACAGAAGCTGGGAAAGAATGGGAGGTTCCCGGGCCACAGAGAACACTTGGAGGCAGGGGTACCCTGAGCAGCACCTGTCCCAGGCCCGCCCCCCACATCTCAAGACTCTGAGTTGGCTCCCAGCAGAGCGGGCACGAAGAGCTCAGCTTCTGTTCCTCCTCTCAGCAGACAAAGCAGACCTAACGCTTCTGTCTCCACCTGAACTTCTATCTCATTCTTTTCCTGCCCACCCAAATTCTCCTGTCCCCTCTCCTGGGAAGCCTCTGTGTCCTGCCAGTGCTGGCATAGCGGTGCCTCCGGCACTTCCAACGTTACCATGGGCCACCACATCACCACCCTGCATCCCGGGGCTCTGTCTCCCATTAGGCTGCGAGCCCTCTCTAGGCAGGTACTGGGTCTAAGTCACTCTCCGTGTCCCCGGCTTCTGGCACCGAGCCCGGCTCGGAGGACCTCGCTCAGCAAACATGTTTGCTGAATTGAATTGAACTGAACTGAACTGGGCCCAGAAATCCTGACTCTTTCCAGTCACTGTTTTTGTTTTTCTGCCTTGGCAGGAAGCGGAGGGCACACTCCAAGAGGTAATTGACGAGCACGTAATAGACGAATTATTTAGATGTCTGGATGGAGTTAGAGGAAATACAGACAGCGAAGCCCCCCGGAGGCCAGCTGCTCTGAGAAGCCGCGACTACCCCGGGCCTGCAGGGGTACAGGAGGGGAGCTGGTATAGAATCTGGGGAGAGCGGCAGCCAGCAGGGGGGCTGCCCAACAGGAGCTGTGGATATAGCAGCAGCCAAACCACAGCTTGGCGGGGGTTGGGGGGGTGGGGGTCAATGCCCACCCTGGTGCCGGCCACAGAAGGCAGCCTGACTGGACACAGACTACAGCTACCAGTACAAGCAAAGAGCAGATCTGGAGGGAGAAATGGGGAATATCCAGCACGAGTGGCTTTGCTCAAAATATGGCCCACATTGCATCAGCATCAGAAACCTTTCAGGGAACACCTGGGTGGCTCAGTCGATGAGCATCTGCCTTCGGCTCAGGGCAGGATCCCGGGGTCCTGGGATCAAGTCCCACATTGGGCTCCCCGTAGGGAGCCTGCTTCTCCCTCTGCCTGTGTCTCTGCCCCTCTCTGTGTGTCCCTCATGAATAAATAAACAAATAAAAATCTCTCTCTCTCTCTCTCTCTTTTTTTTTTTTTTTTTTTAAAAAGAAACCTTTCAGGAGCTTGTTTCAAAAGCAGAGTCTTAGGCTCTGGCCCAGACCAACTAAATCAACATATCTATCCGTGGGGCCTGAGGATTTGTACTCTCAGAAAATACCTTAAGGTGACTGTAGAGATCACCTGGGGATCTCTGGAAGGTATGGAATTATGAGAATTCTGAATGCTGTTAATTCGTAACTTGAACCTACAGAATCAGGTTATTTTTTTTTTATTTTTTTTAAATTAATTTATTTATTTATTCGTGAGACACACAGAAAAAGTCAGAGACAGGCAGAGGGAGAAGCAGGCTCCATGCAGGGAGCCTGATGTGGGACTCGATCCTGGGACTCCAGAATCATGCCCTGAGCCAAAGGCAGACACTCAACCGCTGAGCCACCCAGGGATCCCCCAGAATCAGGTTATGATACAAGGTCTAACAAAGCTGGTTTTCCATCTGCTACTTCCAGAGCACCAGGGGACTTCACTCGTTCATTACTGAGCATGGCCTGGGCTCCCTGGAGAGTTCTGGCCAGATGAAGGTGAAAAAGGATGGTCCCTGCGTGAATATCCTAGGATAACCTCTTACATACATGTACGGGTTCTTCTAGGACTTCCAAAGTCATTCCTACCATGTGCAGATGACTCTTCAGTGCGTCTGCAAGCACCAGCTCTGGGCAGGCAAAGTAACAAGCCAAACCCATGATTTCAACCACCATCACACCTTATGACACCCAAATACTTATTTCTCCTGAGTGTGGGTGTTCAGCTGCCTATGAGACACACATTTAGAGGCTCCCCAGGCCCCCTGCTGACCCACGTGACCCTAAGGCAACACATCTTCCTCCCCACCCCACCCCAAGGCTCCCAACCTCAGTGAGTGGTATCATCATGCGGCCTGTATTTAAGCAGCAGCCGGGCCACTGCTCTCTCCAGGTACCAGGCGCCAGGTACCAGATACCTGGTCCATCCATTCAACCCCCTAACTCTCCCATTCCCTCACTTTTCTAGGTTTCTAGCAACACTCCAGGTCATCGAAATTTTCCCCCTGTATTCCTGTAATGACCGAATAAGCTCCCTTGCTCCTTCCCAAGCCACGACCACCGTCAGAGGGATCTTTTAAATACCTAAAATCTAAACATTTCACTCCCCTGCTTGGAATCTTCAGTGCTCCCCAGTGTCCTCAGGGCCTAGTCCAGACTCCTCACTGTAGCACACAAGGCTCTTCACACCTGGCCAGGCCTGAGTTTCTACCTCATTTCCCATCATTTCCCACACCCTCCCCGCCCTCCCCCCACACCCGGACACCCTCATCATGGATTTTAAGTTCATGCACTTGCTCACCTTCCTCCCCAGAACGTTCTTCTCCTTTTTCTACCTGGTCAACTCCTCTTTGCCAATCAAAACTCAAGTGTCATCTTATCCTTGAAGTCTTTTTCTGAGCCACCAAGCTGGATTAGTCTGCACTGCCTTCCTATCTTGTTCTCATTTCTCTGACAGATCTTATCTCAGCACCTTGGAATAGTCTACTTATCTTTCTATTAATCTGTGATCTCTACTAGGACAAGATCAGCCATGCCTGATTTGCCTGTATATCTCAGGGCCCGGCACAGTGTCTTCCTTTTACCAATGGCAGGGTGTGGGGGTGGAATGGACGGACAGATAAACTGAATTTACAATAGCCTCCTGCACGGAAAAAGATCTCGGAGAGACAGGATCTAGGGAAGACTGCTTCATTAAATTCACTTATTGTGACCAGAGTTTCATCTGGTCTCACAACTAGTGGGGTATATCATGTACTACACCAGGTTCTGTGCCAATATCTCTTCCCTCAGGGACCTGTGACAGTAGAGGAGACATTGCCTAAGTTAGGCTCATTCGGGTTGCAAGGAAAAGACCTGCTTGGTTTTCTTGTCTTTCTTTTCTTATTTTTTTAAAGATTTTATTTATCTATTTGACACACAAAGAGAGAGCAGCAAGCAAAGGGAAAAGGAGAAGCAGGCTCCCCGCTGAGCAAGGAGCCCAATGAGGGGCTCGATCCCATGGGCCCGGGATCATGACCCGAGCTGAAGGCAGACGCTTAACTGACTGAACCACCCAGGGACCCCCCATACTCAGGTTTCTTAGGTGCTGGTGTAAATGGCTACATTAAAATATTCCTTACATGGAAGGGTTTACTTGTACAGAGGAAAGGAAGTATGAGAGACCCCCACCCCCCACAGCAGCCCAGTTCCTCTGGAACAGCACCCCCAGTGCAAGGATGTCGAGAGGAGCTCATGGAGGAAAGAATCGATCCGCTGTTGCCCCAACAATGTTACATAACAAACCACTCCAAACACAGCATCTTAAAACGACCACCATTCCTTCACAGTGTGGTTCTACTTCTCGTGTTTCTCGTTCTCCTGGGACCAGCAATCTACCTGGGGCAGTCTTTTTATGGCAGAAGCAGAAATGCAAGAAGGACAAGCTTAACTACGCAGACATATTTCAAGCCTCTAATTGTGTAACAGCTGCTAACAATCCATTGACCCATTGGCCAAAGCAAGTCACACGGCCAGGCCTCCGAGTTGAGCAGGGACATATCCATCTACTCTAGCATAAGGAGCTTCAAGGTTACGTGGCAAAGAGCATGGATGCAGAGAGGAGGGAAGAACTGGAGCCAAGGCAATCCATGCAGTCCTGCTTTTCAGGCTACAGGTCATCGTAAAAGCAGACGACAGTGACTCCACTTTCTCTCTTCACATTTAAGCTCCATAAAAATCAAAGACTTCACACTATCCCCAGAACCTAGAACAGAGTATGATGCATCACGGGTGCTAATCAATATTTGGTGAACAAATGAAGGCTTCTTGCTGCCTCCTCCTTACATTCTCACTTCCCAGGAGATGCCATGGAATCAGACAGATGTGTTGCTATCAAATACCCTGCAGACTAAGGAGTTTAGACTTTTCCAGGAGGTAGGCCATGGGGAAGCATTGTATATTTTCAAGCAGAGGAGCACTTGTTCAAATCCGTGCTTCAGCAAGATGAACCTGTTATCGGTATTCCGAGAAAAAAAGTGAGAGGAAGCTGGCCGACCAACTGGGAGGCTATTTGCAAGAGCTCTGGTGAGAGACAAGAGGTCCTGAAGCAGAAAGCAGAGCTTGGGAAGGATGTGAGAAATCTTGTGGGGGTAGAATAAAGAGAAGAAGTCATTTTTCTTGGATGGCAAGAGAGAGGGAGGGAGGGAGGGAAAGAGGGAGGATTTGGAGCTGGGAGCCCAGGCCCCGGGGCAGATGGTCAATGGACAAGGAGCAGGCTTGTGG